GTTACCATCGTCATCATTATTATTATGATAGTATTTATAAAACTTAAACGTTAGCTACCATCTTTGACCTTCTCACCATATCTTATTTAGACCCAAATTTCTCCAGCCTGCATGGTTAACCATCTGCTATGTTCATGGTGCCACTCTCCTGCTCTAGAAGTTGCCATGCTTTCCTCTGAACTATCCCAAGGCCCAAAGTCCTCTGCCTGCCCTTCAGAGCTCGGAAATTGGCTCATCTTAGGTTTCATTTTTTTTTTTTTAAACTTGCTACAATGGAGCAAGTGGTCTAGATAGGCTTGTCACTGCATTTTGCTGAAAAGATTATTGCAACTCAATACCTGCCTGGTATTTAGAAATATCCCATAAACAATGATCATGTTTATAAAATTTTCTTATTCCCTTAATTATCAGCATTTTACCATCCATGATATGTTCACTGTCATTCCCTAATTTCTTTTAGCTATTTCATTTTCTTAAACAGACTAAGTTCCTAGAGACCACAGATAATGCCTTATATTTCTCTGTGTTTTCAAAAATGTGTGATGTATAGCTGATATATAAATAATTGTTAATTAATATTTCAGTTACTGAGTTTAATTCATAGCACATTATTGTGACTTAATCTCCTATATGTTTTTTTATAACTATGTCTCTTTTACTAATGTTTAATACAACATGGGCCTACATAGTTTCATAAATATTAATCAACAGAATCACAGAAGTCCATATTTGTAAGTACCTCCCATCTTTCCAAATAGAATTTGCTTAGTTTCCTGTTTTTGTTTTTCCTAGAAGGAAGCTAATGGTCAGAGATTTTAAATGATCTTGTCAACTGAAAAGTTACACAGCAAGCTTGTGGACTCACAAAAAATGAAACAAAACAAAAACAAAACCCAACTACCAGCATTAAATAAAATGAAAAAAAAATATTTTCCAGTGCCAACAGAGAAAATGTGATACTACCATTTATTTTTTATTATAAGAGAAAAAAAAAAAAACCTTCTATTCCTAGTGTTAAAAGTACTTTAACAGAAATGAACTAATTTAATTTCACTGATTCCCTAGGAAAAAAATTGGAGAACCTATTAACTCTATCTATAAATAAAATATTGTCCAGAGAATTGATGTAAAAGGACTCAAGACATTTCACCAAAATTGGCAGTTAAAACTCTAATCCCTTCATGATGAAGCCCCATCTGTCCACTTGGACAATGTATCAGGTTTATACATACGGCCTGATAGAAAAATAATTTTCAGATTAAAAAAAATCACATTAACATCTTCCAAAATAGTTTCTACTGAAACTGTTCAGAAGGACAGATAAAAGAAGGAAAACAGAGGAAAATCTGGACCATTTCATGTTCAATGATCTTGTTTCTTTGAACTACATGACTACATACAGCATCAGAGGGTAAAAATTGGAATGAATCTTTCCTTCTCCTTGTATAATCTGGAATACTAACTATTTTTTCCCCTTGGGATAAAATTTAAATTTCTATGCAGTGAAAATAAATATAAAAGATGAGAACCACACTGGAATCCCCACACAGTGCCCAGGGGAATGTCCAAGGAACCAGCAAACCTCCCCTCAGAGAGGTGTTTAACTGTTATATGGTTAATCGATTTGGAACACCTTGTTCTAAACGGAGGGACAAAAGACATTTGCTGTAAAATCTTCTTCAACTCCCAAGAAGACAACAGTGGATTAGGTGACCAGAGAGACTACTTGGAAACTTCCATGCTTGCGGTGTTTCTGAGTCATCTCTTAAGTCAGAAATAAAGCTGACTTTGAATGATGTAGCTCATGCTTCAGCAATGTTTTGCTCTACACAGCTGGGCCATATGGAAACTATGAACTGGCTTCATAGACAGAACCATGATGAGCCAATGCAACATTTTTATGTTTTCTGTTTCTGTTCAAGTGGCCTCGTGAACAATATATTATCTCAAGACATGGTATGTTCTGTGACTTTGTTTAGATTCTGAGTAGTGATTACTTTTTAATGTTATAGATGCTTTTAATATAGAGACTTCTTAAAAATAAAAACACTTTCATTTAACAACAACCACAAAAGCCTGGACTATTTTGTATAGAAATATACTCTAATTCTTCTTCAAGGTACTGGTGTACTTTAACACACTAGTAAAGTCACGGTCCTTAGAGGAGTATGTGTGTCCGGGCGGGGGAGGGGGAATCTATCAAAATTATAGATGCCAAAGATTTTCTTTCCAAAAAAACACTGTAGTAATTTATAACACCTTCCTGAAATATTTTAAGTACAAGGCAACATTTTAAGAAAGAGAGAAAGGAAGCAAGAAATTTTCTGAGAATTTGAAGGCAAGCATGATCCACTGGACAATTAGTTTGGGGATGCAAAGTATTCATTCATGCTTTGCTGCTTTAATAATTATTAGACAACAAACAAATGGTTCACTCTAAGATTAAATAAATACAGCAAGTACTTTTTTTCTGGATTGGGCTTAAAATTTAATGAGAAACTGTGTGGGTAAAGAAAAATTACAGTGTTGGCACAATACCAAGATGGAATAAATGAACAGCACTTATGTGATTGCATGTTTTGTATAGGATGTGGGAGGGCTATAGAATAGCTGAAATTAATATGTGGAAAATAACTGCAGTGGTTCCTTGGAGGTATTCAAAAACTATCATATGTACTCACTCAGCTTGTAAATCTTTACAAAGGCTACGATGAAAAATGATCATATTTCATTATTATAATTAAAAATACAGTGGTCTCAGATGTGATTCTCAAGGAGTAAAATATAAGACATAGATATAATATGAGTACAGTTGTTTAAAAGGGGGAAGATTTAAGGAACTATGTTTTAAATATTTTTTTGAAGAGATATATTAAAAACAATTATACTGTATTACCAAAATTAGGAAATAAAACAAGGTTTGACCATGTAATAAATTAACTTCATACTTTACAGATTAATTTCCAGTTTCTGGTATTTTCTATTTTAATTTGAGAAAAAAAAATTCGTTCATGCCAATTCACTATGATAAATATGGTTTGGTCATATTTGCACTGTATTCATGGTGAGTCAGTAGAAAAAATATGGAAACTGGAAAATTTCTATGCTGACATAGGCATAGAGAATTGAATAATGTTAATGTTCAAAAAGTGTCAAAAATTAATTTTTAAACAATAATCATACATAAATTTGTGAGATAACTTAGATGGAAAGGGAATCGTTTTCTCCTACATACTCTTCCATTTTTATCATGCTTTACAGATTTTATAAGACTTTACCTACAATTTTACTTTGGCTTATGACTATTATCTGTCTCTGTGAGAGAGACATCTAGTAATTGAGATTAGAATCTTACACTTCTAGCACTCTTGTATTCATCCTAACATGTTCTATTTGCTTTTGTAAATTGTCTGTCTTCATTGATAAAATCAGCTGTACAATCACCAGAATGTGTCCTCTCTTGGTACTGCTTCTACTCTTAAAAAAAAAAAAAAACAAAACCAACAAACAACCAACTCTGGGGGCAAAAAAAAATAACAGTTCTGGAAGATTCTTGTTCACAGCCACCAGTTCCCCTGGGACACATTAGAGAGATGACTATTTTGACAGCTCAGGGGACATTAAAACATTTCTTACAAAACAGCATTTTTGTTTGGTATTAAATTTTGAAACAAATGTCTTTTCTGATGCACTTTATTACTAACAAATATAATTAAGCTTTCTTCAAATGAATACAATATTTGCATTGTAATAGTATAACAGGCCTTATTACCTATTTCCTATGCTTTTTTCCTTTATGCCAGCTGTTCTTTTTATGAGCTCAACTGCCTTACTAAAAGATTTGCTCTTCCTTGTCAACCTTTAAGTCACCTGCTAAAATTCTAGAGCAAGAGACTGCTTTTATTTTTCCTTCTTTAGGACAAACATCATTACTCTTAGAACAATGTACACACTGCATGTTTGAATTATGAACTGCCTACAAAATGTGTTAGATGTTCTACACTACATTTTTTAAAGGAACTGCTTTTAAAACACTTTGCTTTGGGGACATAGCTATTGGTAAACAGCAAAATAAATATATTTTTCATCATATTAATAAAATAAGAAGCACATTTTACCAATATCAACTTATGAGTCCACATACTACATATAAAATACATATGAAGAGTAGACCTGAAATGTATGACCCAATAAACATAGGTATTTTAATAGGCCTTATTAATTTTTAATGTAAGATTTAATCGTTTAATGCACTGACAATATCTTTGTTTTATGCTTCCTGATAAGAAAGAATAAATTTGATCCTTCTTAATGGTGCATGTCATTAGAAGAAAGGGACAATCTAGACATATCCATAGATGATAGCAGTGCGTGAAAGAACACTGCCTGCTACACATAGTGGTGCCACACACACTGAGCACATTTCTGAACACATGTAATGATTTTTTTCCCCACTATTAATACAGACCTAATGTTCATCTTTGTATAGTTGTGGAACAAGATATTCCCAAGTTTGACAGATATGTTAATAAAGAACCTTCTGTACTTCTGCTTCCTTTAGTTGTCCTACTCATTTTGCAGGTGATCACTGGAGTAAGAGAGGAATATTATCTTACAGCTCCATTCATACATTGGATGGAGAAGTAGGTATCAAAGTTATAGCCCCCAGTGATATTTGCACATCTCATTGTAACAATGAGGAAAACCACAAAACCACGGGAAAAGCAACATGACAGATATGAAGGCCAAAGAAACCCAAAACCAAACACAAAAAAATAAAATTCTGCACACATTGAAAAAAAAGCAAAAAACAATTCTGGATATAACAGAAGAAATAACAAATGGTGTGACTGTTTCAAAAAACTCTACAAATAAAACCGCATTAATCAAAAGGATGCAACGAAATTAGAAAAAGAAGCAACAATCCACATCATGAGACATGGAATCATCCAGAATAAGAAGCTATGGATATGAGCCACAGAGAGTGTTTCTTTTCTTACTTGCACAAGTATCTTGAGGGATTCGAAAGGTCTTTCACCATGAAGCACTCGCCTCCATTCACACAAAAAGTTTTCTCCTTCTCTGCACACTTGACAAGATGGCTGGTCCCGGTAGTAGATGTAGACGTGGCTGGATAAGAGATAAAGAAGAGGAAAGGTTCACATCTGTTTCTGGCCCCTTCTAAGCAGCCTTTCACCTTAAATTCTCTTCAAAGGAACAGTACATATAAGATACAGTGGACTTCACTGGTTTCAGATTTGACAAAAAAACAGAGAAAGTAGTAAAGTGCTTTCTGGGTATAATTATACAAAGCAAAACGACAAACATGTAATTACAAAGTTAATTGGATTCTAATTAAGTAGGAAAAGAGGATCAACAATTTTTACATATAGTATTATACCTTCTAAGGTAGTTAGAAAAGAGAAACTCTTTTGTTGCCAAGTAAAATTCATTTTCCAGGAAGACTCAGAGGCAAGGTATCAAGTTATGTCTATGAAGCTCAATCTTCTTAATGGAAATGAATTGGCAAAGTATTTATTTTGGAAACTATGCTTAATATATATATATATATATATATATATATACATACTTTATGGGTGTTTTTGACAATGTATAGCAAAAAAAAATAAGGTGGTTTGTGTGTTCCAAATGAAAAAAATATTAACTTAATATTATATATTAACATACAACTCTGAAGACATTCTCTTCATTATTTCTATTCTACTCTGAAAGTCTGCTTGATGTTTGATTGCCAATGCATTTTTTGCAGAAACAGAGACAGTATAAATATGTTTACAAATGTAAAAAAAAAAGCACTACAAAAGTATCTTGAATTAGGAATACAGAAATAAGCCTTTAATTTTTGTCTTTAACATCTTCATGTGATAACTGCACATTTACTTCTTAAACTTCACAGTTACATGGAAATGAAGTTGAAAAGGCTGCCTGCATCATTGAGGGGACAGAGTAAATGAAGGTGGAAGGGCATTTTAGTATCAGGACTTCTCCCCACTTATATTGCTGGGAACTGGACACTGCTCAGCCTCAACCAGAAAAAGTCTAATTTCCATAGTGCTAAAGATTGATATTGTCAGATCAGAAGCAAAACCATCAACAAGCCACCAAAGACTCTATTTTTTCAAGAAAAAAAAAAAAGTTCACATTGAGACATTTTATTTTATCTCCTGGGTCATTCCTACACATTTTTAATGTCTCGCCTTCCTCACCAATTTCCGATTATATTTGCATGAGTTTCACATTCTCTTGTTTAGGTTTACTTGACCTGTCATATACTGACTTTCCATTTACTTCTGCTTTTCTTTTTCCATTTCCATCAGAAGTCCACATTTTATTGTGACATTTAACCTAATTTCTTGTGCCTTCTTGGTTTTTATTCTAGTGTTCAGGATACTCAACATCTGATTAAATATTTAGTTTCTTAGTTACTCATAGGCTATCCTGTCTCTTTGTTTCCTGTGCTAGGAGCAATAGTAAAGGACAGTCAAAATAACTTGGACTGTGCTTCAAAGCCCTTCTACAAGCTTTGTATCCCGAGCCTGCACAGTTTCCCCATGTAGAACATAGGGGCAATGACAATCTCAGAGAATTTTTGTACAGATTATAAGTAATCCAGGTAAAGGAATTGGCACAAAACTAGTATTCAGTGAATAATAGCAAGTATAAATGGGTAAGCAGAGATGAATTTTTATTTTGGCACTCAACAATCAAAAAAAAAAAAGCTTGACAATGGATATCTGGTGTTTCAAAGATGCATGATATTCTGCTATTCTTGAAACATTACTACAAAAATAAAGAATTGGGACAATTTTATTTATTTATGCATTTATATGTGTGTATGTATGCATCAATTTATTTTATTATTTATTTACTGTTTGTGTAGAGCTAGGGTTTGAACCCACAACCTTATGCATGCTGGGCAACCACTCTATCACTGAGCTACATACATTCCAAGCCCAGGTCAATTTTTTAGTTACTCTAACAAAAAGAATGTTTCTTATCCTTTTCAATCTGAGTTTGTAAATGTCCTTTACAGGTCTACCAGCCAAACAAGGTATGAAGGACTGTGAGGAGAGAGGTGATTTTATCATCTGTTATCAGCTATACTTTAACATCTGTATCAGAATGAGGGGAATGTAATTTGCATCTTTTAGTCTGTGAAATCATAGAACAGACAGCATTAGGATATATCACACAGCACTTAATTTTAACATAATATATCTTCATGTGAAAAACTGTTTATGTAGGTGCTATGTATCAATATTTTCATCCATGGCAACTGCTTTTAAAAGATATTAGGGAGCAGGTTGCCTTAACTGGGTCAGGTTTTGTGCTTAAGACTTTCAACTGCTGACAGCATTCCTTGCAAAGACAAATTGGGCTGGGTCTCTTTTCTGCCCTAGGCAACAGCACTGAAGCGACCACCTGCAGCGTGCTGTCACCATGTTCTCCTGCAGAGGGATGCTGAACCTCAAGGAAACCCTAGTGGCATTTGAATCCCTGACAGGTTGCTAAGGAATTTCCTTTACCCAACTGAGCAGCAGACACTAAACAGGCTCTTTCCCAAAAACATCCCAAGATTTTTACTAAAAACAAAGGGAAACTTCCCACCCCAGAATGCAGACACTACATGTAAATTTTAAACTAACAATAAAAATTAGCCAGGAAATACACAAGAGACAGATATAACATCCTTATTCCTTACACTTGCTGATCTTGCGGTATTATCAAAATAAGACTAATAACTATATGTTAAAATTAGAAATAACTATTTTTTGTTCTTTAAAAAATGATTCTCCCTGAAATGATTATCCTTTTATGAAGCAATCCTGAAGCATCTAGCTCTGACATATTCTGTTGAAAAAATTTAAGATCATCACTTTAAAGTAGTAATGGGAACATTTGATAGTAAAAATGATTCTTAGAGGGAAATGAAGTAGCAACTATCTCACACACCATGGACGATGGTGCTTAGCACTTTTTATCCCTTAGCAGCCTTGAGATTTAAAAAAAAAAAAAACAAAGTCACGAATTGCAAAGCAGCAATTGACTCCCAGGTGATGCAAAGTGTGAATGGAGTGGATACAGCTGCTGTGAGCCAACAGCCAAGCACAAGAAAAAGCTGTGATTGTCAGAAGAACCCAGGATAGAGATGGTGCTGTACATACACATTTCAGATTTCTGCCAGGTTTCTTTCTCCTCTCCTTAGTTGAACACAGTGTGCTGTTGTGTTGTTAGTCCTAACAAGTCTATAAATTTTCCAGTGGTGTCCTTTCTCTTTGGCTTATATACACTATATTACTAAGTCAGTTCCCATTTGATAATTCTACCCCCACACAAAGAAATAAACAAAGCAAACTATGCAAACACCATTTTTTTTTCCTGGTGGAGCTATGAGGAGATTTTAGAGATAAAGCTAAAAATTTTACAGATAGAATGCATTTCAGTGTATAAAAGATGACCCCCAGTAGTTGTTCAGAGAAGGCAGTGAAATAGATGTTGCTTATTCATTGCTTAATAAACCCAGTATCCCTCTGCTTTATGAGTAGTTTGACACAATTTAGGTGTTATCTTCTAATCAGTGCTAAATGAATGGCAATTAAGAATACTGCTAAACATGACTCCATCACTTTTATGTTTGCCATCTGTATTAAGTTTTTATCTCAAACACACTTTCCTTGGTAGGTTAGAGACTACAATACTGTAAGGAAGAAAGAATATATAAAGTGTTAAATTATTAGCAAAGAATGTCTTTTGACTCCAGTCCTGGTTTGTCTCCCTAGCACAGATCAGGACAAGTGATCTTCCCCAAGGAGATAGGACAGTTCTCTTAGCTGAGGATTTGGGGATTAAGATAATGTAGGAACCATAGGATTTCCTCCTTTTCTTCCCTCCCTCTTCTTTCTTTCTAGCCTGACTTTCTCCCTTCCTTCCTCCCTCTCTTCTTCCCCTCTTCCCTCCTTCCTCCTCCTCTCTTCCCTACCACCCTTCTTTATAGACTGCCCATTACGGGCAAGAAATAATGGTGACAAGTAAAGTTACTAGAGTTAAAAATTCTGAAACAATGACCCTAAAAGGGAACCTTTGTAGATAAGATGTAATGAAATGAACACTGAAGCTACTTATCTTAAGAATCAAGTATAAGTGACAATACTAGCTTTGTGATTCCTGCTTGGTGACCTGCGTCAGTAACTTCAGCAGCACAAGTGAGACACCCACAGTGTTGCTGTGAGATTGGTTAAATTACATTGCTTGCAACACTGTGTATGCACAGATACATGCTACAATTACTATAATTAATGACATCAATATTGCACAGTGAAAGGAAAAAAAAAATTCAGTCCAGATTCTGGAATCTTACAAAATCAAGTCTCAAGTGTTGTTTCTTAGTTAATAATTCTGCAAAATGTGAAGCAAGAAGGCCTATTTTGGAAGGAGAATCACTGAATAATAGTAAAACACTAAGAAATATCAGTAACCTACTCTAAATTAACTTTATTGTAACTGCCTCTCAGCCACTTATAACCACTAAATTTGTTTATAAAACTCAGAAACAATGTAAGAGAGAAAACTAACATCTTAGTTACATGATTATTTTGGACTGTCAAAATCTATATAATTCTATAATACTTATCACTGAATTTCCAAGTTACATGAATTAAGCATACCTATAATAATGTATGTTATTATAACAGTTTAAAAACTACAACATATTTTAAAGTAGTGTAATGTCCACAGTATATGTTACATGATATAAACTTTGTTTATAACATTACAGAAATCATACTTTCACACACTTTTGTAACTACCCATAATAAAAACTTAATAATAAAGTATTCTCTGCCTATTGTTAATTATTTCCCCGTTAAACCACACAGTATTTCCTGCAGAGTGACAGGTTTTTTTCCTCTCAAGACAGGCTAAAAAAAAAAAAAAATCAAGTAATGCTGAAAAAGGATGACTTACTTCCTTGCTTGTTTTAAATGGTGATTTCCTTATCAGTGAAGTAGACAACATCAATAGACCAACACCATTACACAAAAGAAAATTGCTGATAAGAAGTCACTCTTTTCTTCTTTGACAATTAGCAGGAATTAGCATGAAAAAACAGC